AAGCACTTAAATCTAGCATTGCATACTGATATAAAATCTGATTGGCTAAAAATATACAATTTACATGTATGGCAATAAAGCGAGATATAATAACATCACATTCCTTAAATTAAAAATAAAAGCTTAAATAAATAATTATCATGAAACTAACAATCGCAAATCGTTTTTAAAAAAACAAAAAAAAAGAACTTCGAGATATAAACTGCAGACTACGTCATAAAACACAAACACAGAGCCAAATATTGCAATACAATGCAAATTAAATATATATCTTCGACTCCATATGTAGAGCAGTATGAAAGACCTTCAGTAACAAGCTCATTCAACATCGACAATGACATAAATGAACTAGTTGAAAAATATTGTAAGTTTCATAAGCAACTAATTTATCAAATCATCAACCGAAGCTTACCAACAAATATCTTAGTTACATTTGGAGATGATGGCCTCGAAGAGTTCGATAGTTTCATAGCACCAACAAAAAATATTGAGCATGGAGAAAATAGCAAAGATAGTTAGTATCAAAATATAACACAAAGCCAAATAACGGACCTCACCTTTGAGTTTATTTCATAACTAAAACCTTCCACACAAGCAAAATTCTAAGCAACAGCAAAGTCGTCCCAACCATACCTGAGCTAGTGCTTGGCAAACTCAAACAAAAACTTGGATTATCAAGTTTTTAAAAATCAAATTTTGTTTGATTTTGTTGAGCACTAACCTGAACATATTAAAATTGGCTTAAATCCACCACTTCCTTGTTCAGCGCATTTACTATACCATAGAAAGGCTAAATCTTCATTCTTATGAGTACCAATTCCAAAGAAATAACAATTAGCTATCATTTCTTGAGCTATTAAATAACCGCAGCAGCAAAAAATAAAGAAAAGGCTTTTTTCTTATCTCTTTTATATCTAATTCTGAAGCCTAACTTAGGCATTTTCTGGCAAATATGCCTAATTTCCAATTCGATAATTAAGGAATGCCTTATGCATTCTTTTTTAGCTTTATTCCTTTTTTTTTTTTTTTAAGAACTTGGGGTCTGTTTTCTTTGGCAGTGCAAATACAACATAAAACTAACAAGCTTTATATTGATAGGTTCACTTGTAATTGCTTTGGAGGATATTCCCAACAGTATTAATTTTAACACATGGAATGAAGTAGAAAGCTATCTTAATGAATATGGAGCTAGAAACGGCTTTGCTATTACTAAATACTGAATGGAACGAAATGGCTTAGGTCAAATTCACAAAAGAACCTTCGTTTGTGAATTCAGTGGGAAGTATAAATCTAAAAAAATGGTTGAGGCTGCTTTAAATAGAAAACAGAGAAATACAAAAACCAAAAAAATGAATTGCCAATAGTATATCAACTTATCTTTCCCGGAACAAGCTACACAAATTATTTCAATTACAAAATATGTTAATCAACATAACCATATCCTTCTTCCTAAAACCCAAAATTTTGGAGTTAAATATCGGTCACTATCTAAAGAAGCGCTTGATGAAATAAGTATAATGACAAAGCACGGTAATTTGTCACTAACCATACAAAAAAGTCTTTTAAAGGCTTGATTTCCTGACCTAAATTTTCAAGACCAAGATTTAGCAAATGCAATCCAAAAAGCCAAAAGTATGACCAAGATCAGTAATAACGCATCAGTTTTACTTACTACTCTGATGCAAAAGAAGTTAGAGGACCCATGCTAGGTTGTTGACTTCGAGCTGGATAATGACAATCGCCTAATTTGTCTTCTTTGGATATCTCCAGACCAGATTGATCTTTGGCTTAGATACTACAATGTTGTTGTTAATGACAATACAGCTTGAACCAACCAATATCAAATGCCATTGGGGCTTTTCATAGTAATTGACAACAAGTGTAAGACTCATCTTGCCTGCCAAGTATTGATGAGCGATAAAACTAGTGACATGCACATTTGGATACTTGAGCATATCAAAAAAGCTGTAGACAAAGTTCCAATTGTTATGTTTATTGACAGAGATCCTGCACTTAATGCCGCAATTCCAATTGTGTTTCCCAAAACATATTTGGCACACTGTATCTTCTATATAGGACAAAACCTACCTAAAAACTTAAAAGCAAAGTTGGGTGTTAATTGGGATAATTTTATTAAGCGGTTTTATGAATGTCATAATAGCTTATGCGAACTACTGTTTAAAGAAAAATGAAATAAATTACTTAATGATTTTCCAATGGCAAAGGACTACCTTTTACGGGTATTAGACCCAAAATGTCATTCATGGGCTTGGGCTTATCTTTATAGAATATTCACGGCAGGTATTGAGAGCACAGCAAGAGTTAAAAGTTATAATTGGGTCATCAAGCAACTATTAAAAACAAACAGTACATTATGTGAGCTTGCTGATCGACTTGATGCAAGATTAAAAAATGAAGTACAATGGAATCAGTTTCATGTTTACAAACAAGCCATTATGACGAATATCATTCCTATTGCCGGACAAGATTTGTTTCCTGAAATAATTAAAGTTATTGATAAATATCTCACCGAATCTATTTCACTGCAATTAAAGTAGAGATGTCTCAGTGTCTATTTGTTAGTTTGAACAAGATCGAGCCTAGTGTTGAAGAGTTACATAGTGAACAGGTAATGATATGTAATGCTAAAATTAGTGTTCAATTAATTCAAATTTAAACTAATAGCATATCTTGCATTATAAAAGAAAATAATCAACTAACATCTGATAGATTTATCGAAGACCAATGCGATGCATGCCTCATTATGCTCCAGTCAATTATTGATGAAGTAAGATGAGAAGAAGTGTTAGAAATTTGGAAAGTTATAGATATAAGAAGTGAAAAATGATGTCATGTACATTTTGTTGTCGTTGCTAACACGGTATCCTTCTTATACTCATGCCTAATGTCTATTTCAAAAAAAATCATATGCCACCACTATTTCCGTGTTATGATGTATTCAAAAATCATAGCATTTTACATTAGTATAATACCTCGGATGTGGTATAAAGACCATCATCAGGATGAATCGATTCTGAAAAGAAAAAGTGCAATGTTTAGATATGAGATGGGGATCTTTAATGATAAAGGGGTCTTACCGATACAAAAACCTACTACCGTTCTGACGACTATTCCTATGGTTAAAAAATCTATTCAAAAAAGGAACTTATATGGTCGCATGTGGGGACTGGCATGAGAAGCCACACTACTTGCAGTTGAAAAAAATGATAATGTAATTATTACTTATCTTCAAGCTTATATCAACTAAAAACATAACGAAAATGATGAAGTGCCTGAAAGATCTATGGATGGTGAAGTATCTGATAATGCTTTGGAGATTCAAACAAATGAAACTGATCAATCAGATGAAACTGAAAGTGAAACTGAAACTGAAACTAAAGAAAGCCAAGATATGAATGAAATAAGCCTTGAAAATGTAAAGAATCCAAATAAAGTCTTTACCAAAGGATGGCCACCAAAACAAAGACTTATTAGCAGCGTTGAAAAAGAACAGGTTAACCGGGGAAGATCTACAAATAAAAGGTCATATAAATGTCGCATCTGTAATACTGTGGGGCACAATGTGGCTTTTCACAAGAAGGGCAATAATGACAGTACAGGAAGTGGAGAGAGAGGTAAAGGTAAATCGAAAGCATAGAGAGGTAGATCATAGAGAGTAAATCAATAGCATAGAAATAGATCAATACAGCAACTTACCCTGTAGTTTGATCTTTTCAGATTCAATAAACGTGAGATTAACGAAAAATTTGAAAAATTGCTACGTAAAGCTATTAATTTATTTTTCCCATGATTAAAAGCAAAAAATTTTACTTTTTCGTGTAACCCGAGCTTTTTGACTAGCGATAATCAAAATTCCGATCTAAGCAATATTACTTAGTATATTAGCTTAGTAAATTTTGGCGATTTTGGGCAAATTTAGTTAAGTTAGAGGTTAGGGTAAGGGTTAGTTAAAGGTTAGGGTAAGGGTTAGTTAGAGGTTAGGGTGAGGGTTAGTTAGAGGTTAGAGTGAGGGTTAGTTAGTTAATTAAAGGTTATTAGGGTTAGGGTTTTAGAGTTTTAATTCCGGAAGCCAACCTACTAATAATCATGTGACATTTGTAATTACCCGGTTTAGTTACCCTGTTTAGAGCTAACGATACTGTAAATTTCATTTTATCTTTATG